TGAAGTCCACACGTCTTAAAGTTGCCAAGGTTGCTGGCTGGGGAATCCTGGGAGTTGAAGTCCACACGTCTTAAAGTTGCCAAGGTTGCTGGCTGGGGAATCCTGGGAGTTGAAGTCCACACGTCTTAAAGTTGCCAAGGTTGAGAAACACTGTCCTATTGAGAGCAACAGGGTGTACATTTAAACCATTAATTCTAAGAAGCATTTTTTAGATATTTACCTGGAGTTTCCATCCAGGAAGCGAAAGTGTTTTTGCCCATGAATGCAGACATCTTTAGCTGACCCAGGAGGTGAAAAACAGTGAAAATAGGGAGCACAAAGCTTATTGTGAATATTTGTATTTGTAACTAGTTGTGGGCATTTGACGGACAGGCAACTTAATGCAGTTTCACGTTTCCAACGCAGTCTGCCTGGAGCCTCCAGATAGGTTACATGACTTTCTTCCTTGCATTTTATCATAGGCTCATAGGATTTTTAAAAAATTCTCTAAGGTGCATATGCTTAAATTATGGTGGCTTTTTGGTTGTAAGTACAGGCAGTCCTTGGGTTACGAACGCCCAGTTTAAGGACAACCCATAGTTAGGAAAGGAGCCTATTGTAGCAAAATTTGAGTTAAACACACAGTGTTAAATACAGTTATATACATTTAATCAAGTTAAATACACAATGGTTAAAGTTCTTTACACAATACTTCTTACACAGTAGTACACAATAATTCTGTTCCGGCTTACGTACAAATTCAACTTAAGGACAGACCTTGGGAACGGCACTCGTTTTTAATCTGGGGACTCCCTGTTTTTGTAAGTTATTTGTAAGTTGTAAGAAATTTGTAAGTTAATTGTTCTTTTTCTTTTTAAAGTGCTAAATAGTTACTGGTTCCCACTCGAGAGCGCAGCAGCTGTTAAATATAAAATAGTTTCAGATAATCCTGGGTTGCTGATCTGTTCCTGATTTGCCCCCCCTCTTTTTTCCTTCAAAAGCACCCCGGCAGGCTGTGTGTTGCCTTGTTCCCTCCTGCCCGTGACTTTTGTTTCTAAAACAATCCTCTGTATTTATTTGGATCCAGCCTTACTTTGAGCCATTTTGCCAAACGGTCCCTTCTGGTCTCCAAATGTGCTGGGAGGAGGAGGGAAAAAATGGATGGTGGGGGTGACAGGAGCAAGGAAAAAGAGGAGTCCCGTCTTGCGAATGTCTTTTTGCACCAGCTCTCTTGAAAGCATGAGCATTTGGGCCAGCCACGGTGCTGGAGAAGGACTTCTCTGGCTCGTGGTCGGTGGAAGAAATTCTTGGGTTGAGTGTCAAGGGTGTCACCTCTGTTTGGCCAAGGCTGTTTCCCGAAAAGTGCATTTTAGGAAAAATTGATGCAACTGCCTTGCTGCAGAGATGAAATAGGATGGGGGCTGGGTGATGCTGTGTTCTTGCTGGTCTCCCCCCACTTTTCCCCCCATCTTTCCCCCCCTTCCATCCATTAAAAGGATCAAGATGGAACCGTGTTCCATGATTTTGACTGGTAGAGTAAGGAGGGTTGGAGCAGAGGGCTGGGAAAATCTTTACCTCCCACCCCCAGCCTCTGACTCAGGAAAACCACTGTGGTTGACAGCTTTGAGGTGGGTGGGCCAAAGGTTTGAGTCTGTCTGAGACAGTTTCCTGTGTTGGGGTGGGGTGGGGGGGCTGCAGCACCAACAGTGAATCAAGACAGATCCAGACCTCGATTGACTCTGATGCTGCTAGGAGGAATAAATCTCTCCGTTCTCACCTCTCTCTTTCCCATCACACCGGTCTACAATGCGGTTGTAAGGTTTGGGTCTTACCCAATGTTTGACTGACTCATTACAGCTTGTAAACCATAATTTATGGTATAGCAGTGTTTCTCAACCTTGGCCACTTTAAGATGTGTGGACTTGCTGGGGGATTCTGGGAGTTGAAGTCCACATATCTTAAAGTGGCCAACGGTGAGAAACACTGGTTTAGCATAATGTGTGAACCAGCCCATGATCATGTGTGAAAATTGATCTTAATTAAACTAAGCCATGATCTGGGAGAACATAGTTGTGTTCACATGGTATGCTTTGCCAGGTCACACTAGAAATGTCCTGTGTGTGTGTTTGTGAAAGAGGACACATGATGCCTTCTGTTGGACACTAATTGGAGATGCGTCTATACAACGTCCTAAGCTGGTTAGAGTTAATCCTGTTTATACTTTTTTGTGACAATGTGTTGGTAAACTAGAGGATGTTAAAAAGAAATGGAGCTTCAGTCACATGGTCATGGTCGCCATCTTGACTTTTTTGACTCTGGATACACTCCTTTGGTTAGCTGATGGTTCAGGTGCAGTAAAATCAGTTTAATAGGCTGTTTGGGAGTAGAAGTATCTGTTCAATCCAGATTGACACTAGTGATACAATTTATGCTGTCTGTGTGAACATACAGTTGACACTTTTACTTCACTTGCATCAGTTTGCATCATCTACTAGTAAGGCAAGCGTGCAAGTGACATCAACTATTCCAGCTGATATAAAAATATCAGCTGCATAATTATACAAATAATATAAATTGGCACAAATGACATAAATCATTTCTGCCCTCCTTTGGAAACGAGGCATGGTTGGAGATGAAATCAGAAAGACAGATGTTGCCTCTTGCCTCCAAAATCTGCTGAATGGAGATTCAGAGAATCAAGGTCTCTTTATTCTGTGACACCCCCCCCCCCCCCGA